TAAACTTGATACATGCCTCTATCACTGATAAAAAAATCAGCACGTTTGCTCGAGCCGTAATGGAGATATTCGAATTTCTTATCGCACAGTTATTTATGGACCACCCTGTATAACAAAATGCGTAGATATTAGTGGTGTACACATCGTGCCGAAGTTACAATATTCGTCAAAGTTATAATTTCCATAGCAAATTTCATCAAACATGTAACTTCGATGAATTGAATTGTCGAAGTTACAGGACTGACACATAGTTCTGCTGATGTTGTTTTACATGATTGAATTAAAAATCATTTAACAAAGAATGAATATGATTCTCTGAGAAAAAACTGTAAAAGCTGACTTTTCATCTTAGCATAACCTTTAGTTACAGCGTTTATTGAATCTTGAGACGGAGGGAAAAGAGATTAAATGAACTGAATAATTGACAAATAAAAACACGATTCTTATCACATCTAGGAGAGAAATTGTAAAGAAGTGATAGACATAGAGATGCACAGTCCTAGAAATGATCATTCCATGTCGAACAAGAGCTTTTCCCCAAATGCAGATGATTTAAAATGAGTTTTCACTGTCTTCGATAATCATAACAGCAGGTTTTATGTTCATCATCAAATCCCATTTCCGCTGAACTAGACATTGACTGATGTCACTAAAATCGTAGATCTTTTACTGTGATGTTTCTCTTAGACATACCATTTTATAATTCAATTTATCAGATAAATTTAGTTACGTTTCGAATGCGATTAACAACTAGATGCTACAAAGAATAATGCATCAACTCATGTGTGCTTTCCTAGTTAATTTAACACGTGAAAAGATCGACATAAATTGAACAAAAAAGCCTTTTCCTTATTGACTCATTTACTCTCGTGTCTAATTATAGTTTGATGATGTTCGCCTATTTTCATATCTTGCCACTGATATATTTAGAGGAGAAGAGTTAGTGAAAATTTCTGATATTGAAAAATCTTTTCGAATTTTCCCCTGAAAATTGTAAAAAATGTCCTGGTACTGCTTCTAATGAATGTCAATACATTTTTGCGATCATAAACACTTCACTTTCTTAGTGTTTACTAAATCGGTCCGTATTGTAAAAATCGAAGTCTATTTCTGTACTTTACAGCATTTAATTTGATCTAAAACAAACACAAGATAGATAGGGTAGTAGCGAAACCTCTTTAATTTCAAGAGATTTACTAATTTTTCAGAGTAATTAACAAAATTTGTAGTTTTATATATAAGATTGAGATGCAAACTTAGGTTTAATACTTTTTTTTTGTCATATAATTACATTCACTTGTTGATCAATCATGCTATTTGCTATCATGCAAAACAACTTCGATAAAAAATATGTGCCAAAGTTTTAACTTTGGTATGATGCATATATACTCGTCGCTCTTTGCTATCTATATGATTGAGTAGTTATGTAATTGGATTTTTTTATTACATATCCTCGAATAAGATCTTCAATCTTCTAAACAACGCATGTAAAATCGAACTCTGATTAGAAGTTGAATTTCATATTAAACAAAAAGTTATGATTAGTGAATAACACTTTGAATCATCAACAGTGAAAGAAATCTATTGTTGATTCATCAATTACTTCGGACTAAACCAGATATATTATTGTTTTTTTTTTATAGTTGTACTTATTTTATTGTATAAGTTTGAGCTCATAAGATAATTCAGTTTACATTATATCAGCTGATACAGTGTTTTGTGGTATTTACTAAGATAATTTTTGTTAATAATTATAAGATATATCTATGTAAAAAGATTGAAAATAAATCAAAGACAATTTCTCTTTTCAAGTTTCTTCAGGGAAAACTATTTTGTTTCGTTTTTCTCAATCTGAAAATAGGTTGTTAGATCATTATATTAGATAATATGTAGGTAAAGAGACAGTTTTCAGTTCTCTCGATTTATTTATTTCCTTTTTATGCAATGTATAGAAAAATGATTCAAATCTTAGCTTGAATCAATGTCCAATATAGGAACAGGAAATCCTATAGAAATAATACGTTCGATTCCTATATATTCCTATATTTTTAAAAAGTTACGCTACGAGGCCAGCTATTATCAAGTGTTCAATTGTTTTTATCGAATAAATCGTATAGAACAAGATAATGATTAGATTAGGTGAATAATTTTACTTTGTAAATTGCTATATCTATCAGATGAAATAAAAGATCACAAACTGGAAACTGACAACAATAATTTATACATAGAGATTCATTGAATATGTATAATATTCGATAGTTAAATTACTATATCTTACTACTTTCACATCAACATACTTCACACTTATGTGGAGTTTGACTCAGAAAAGTCAATAGAATTAGAATACAATATTTTACGCTTTTTTAAAGAGAAATTAAGTTGATACTGAACTATTCCTTTATGCTCGGTTTTAAGATACTTTGATAATAATCACAGCAATTATTTAATAGATCATATTATAAACAATCATAAAATACAATAAAGTTTAATTGGAGCACGATATATCTCAAGAAATATGTCTACGAGAATATTTTTTGATCATCAACTGATTTACAAATCGATTCAACAATCGTATTAATATAGGAATAAGTAAAATTAGAAGAATATTGAAGCATCTCTCTTCTGTTTCATAATATTATCATTCACCCTATCTTATTGAGTGAAAGTATAAGTCTAATAACTAAAATTTTGGCAAAAATATCAATTCCATATAGTCTTAAAAAGTTGATTTGCATATTTATCTGAAATTTTAGTTCTCGTAATTTTTCAATCCAGTCTACATCATGAATCTATGAGATGGTAGAATATTATGAGAGAGCGTCCATCATGTTCAAAAGATTTTTCATGTTAGTGTCGATTGAATCAGACGAAAAAATTTTTTTCGAGTCAAATATCAGGCTACTTCATTTAATTGATTTACAATTATTTATTTACTATTACATAGTCTTATTAGGATTGTATTTTGCAATTTTTGGTTGTATTTTTACTCTTTTATAACAATAAAAAAAATCATTTACTAAAAACGTATGCAAAGTGTTGTAAGAAGCTAAGGATTGAGAAAAAGTCTGATACAACATCAATATGTTGAATTTCGAGAGTTTAATAACAACAATTAATGATGAAGGCATTTTTGTAATGTTTTCATAACGATCCTCTACGATCCTAAATTATCAAGTAGTGCCATCTATAACGTTTCTAAAAAACGCCAACCTAATATTTTGTAGAAATATTGTTTATATCTTGTTGGTTTTTAATATATATAAATCTTAATGGAGGACCAGCTACACAAAAATCTTCACACAATCCATTTGGAAATAACCAGTAAAAGTACAGAATAAGTGCCTTCATTCCATCAGTCCGTCAGTTGATCATATAGTATCAAGATGAAAATTCCTTCTTTAAATCCAGAAGTTGGTTCAATGGTACGAGTTTATGGTAGTCATGTAAATGACTTAAATGGTTTGTTATTATTTCTTTAATAAATATTCTTTTAATTAAAATTATTTTTCTTTATAGATTTCTATTTGTACTCGTCATGGAGCCACCACAAACTTCTTCAACTTGATCAACAACTTGCTGAAGCATATTCTCAATCCTCATCGTATAACATATATTTATTTCTTTTTAAAATAAATATAATTTCTTTCATTGATAGATCATCTACAACAGCAAGTGAAGAATTTAATATTGGTGATTATTGTGCATATCAATCAGAAAATGAAGTTTGGTATCGTGGATTGATACGCGAACGAGATTCAAATGGTAATGCAATTGTATTTAAAATAGATTATGGTGATGTACAACATATACCTATACGATTACTTCGACCATTAGAGGTTAAAAGTTTCGAAAAATTCATTGTATTTTTTTTGCAAAGTTATTTCTTTTTTATTAGGAATGGATGTTTGAAGTACCACGTCTTGCAATTCATTGTTCATTAGCTGATTTAGTGAAACCAATAAATGATTGGTCATCAGAAGTTATCAGTCAATTTGGTTCACAATTAACAAAATCATTTCTTTATGGAAAATTTATTAATTATAATAAATCGACTGATATATTAAGTGTGGAAATAAAGGAAAAAGAATCAAACATCTCGTTCAATAAAGTGTTTGGTACGATAAAATTTAAAATCTTATTGTATTTCCGAATATTTTCTATTAAATAGAACCATATCAAAAGGAACAATCAACATTTCCAATGAATGATAAACTTGTCTACAAACGTATGTTAATAAAATATTTATTTATTTATTTTATATTTCTTACTCTGTTTGTTGAAAGATATTCCAATGGTAAAATTAGATCCTAATACATCATATAAAATTCATCTACTTTACTGTATAAATCCAAGTCATTTTTATGTTTATCTTCGAAAAAAATCCAAGCACATAATCAGGTAAATAGAAAGTATTTCTTCTAAGATGAAGTTATATTTGTAGATTTGATTAGTTGCAAAACAAATTGCAAGAAGCTGGAAAATGTCTTTCACCAATATCATCACCAGTGGAGTATCAAGCAATTGCTGTAGAAGATAATAAGGGTGTGGGTGTGGGTGTGGCTGGGGTGTGAGTGTGGTGGGTGTGGGTGTGGGTGTGGCTGGGGTGTGAGTGTGGTGGGTGTGTGGCTGTGGGTGCGGATGTGGGTGGGGTGTGGGTGTGGTGGGTGTGGATATGGATATGGGTTTAGGTGTGAATGTCGATATTCAAGGGAATGGAGACAGCCACATTCCTGCACCCACCCACACCCAC